ATTATTTCCTAAATAATTAGCAGTTGTAACATCTAATAGACCATTTCGATGGAAATGGTCTATTAGATGTTACAACTGCTAATTATTTAGGAAATAATATTGGTGTACATATCAGTTCTGGTTATCAACATTTCGGACGTGAAACGATATATTCGACTGGTGATGCATCAGCTCCATATGCAGTGGCTGTTAGTGACTTTAATCATGATAATCAAAGTGATATAGTTGTAGTTAATTATGGTACAAATAATATTGGAATTTTTTTTGGCTTTGGTAATGGAACATTGAGTACAATAGTTTTATATCCATTGGAAAATAATGCTAATCCAACAGCAGTTGCTGTAGCTGATTTTAATCACGATAATTATTCGGATATTGCTGTTGTCAATTATGGTTCTAATAATATATATATATTTTTTGGATCTATTAATGGAATATTTTCTCTTGTAACAATATATTCAACGGGTATAGGTTCGAATCCACATGGAATTACAATTGGTGATTTCAATAATGATCATATATTAGATATTATTGCTGTAACTGCTGGCACAAATGAAGTTATTTTAGCACAAGGATACGGAAACGGAACATTTGGAAATGAAACATCATATACAACGGGTTATAATTTTAATCCTTATGCAGTTGCTGTTGGATATTTCAATGGAGATAATTGGTTAGACATTGCTATTGCCATTTATCAAGGTGATCATATAGAAATTCTATTAAAAACATGTTAATACATAAATATTTACTAGTTTTGACTTTTTTTTATGTAAAAATAAATAAAATGTATATGTATGATAAAAGAAAGATGCACTATGATAATATTTTTCAATTTATCGAAAACTGTAAAGAAATTTTTATTTTTGACATGAGATTTACATAAACAATTGACATATCTCTTGTACTGACATTTTGAAATTTGAATTAAAATAAATGTCAATTGAAAAAATCGTATGTTGTTGCTGAAATGAAGTTATAATTTGATATTAATTTGTAATTGCTTTTCTTCTATAAACTAATGTTTGGGAATATTTTGATGATTTTTTCTATTGAAAATGAGGGTGTGGGTGTCTCTTATTTTATCTACATCCACACCTACTTTAGAATTAAATAAAAATTTAGTTTCAAATTGTTGTTGTACAAAAAAAAACAATGAAAAAAAAGTGTCTCTCTTTTTAGTCATGGTAACATCCACAGGATAGTTAGAAATTGTCTTTCTTAAGTTATCAATATAATCGTCGGTTTCACTGAAACCAGCAGACAATAGACCATCAGGAAAACGAAATATATTCAAACCGAGTGTTAATAGACCAGGGTCTCCATAGTTGTAGGCATCGAGTAATTGTATTGAGAATAAGTTGTGCCTTGTTTTCTTGGATGAAACCAGCAAGAAGTGATTTTCCAGTGATACTGTAGATACCCTTGGAACCTCGAGGATGTATATGAGGTAGAATGATACCACAAGGTTCTAACATAGCTAATGAGAAAGCAATACCAATTCCAGCTAAGGCAGGTGTTGTGCTAAGATTAAAATAACTAACATTACCACCAGGAGTATTTACCCAAAAGATAGGATC